GTTTATGGACGCATATTCGACATGTCTTCAGTGCGTAATACGAAGTAATACAATCTAAACAATATTATGCATCAGAAATGAAAAAAAAAAAAAAAAAAAGTGTTCTAAACGGCAGCTGGGTACCCGTATTTTTAAGGTTGCCTTCCCGGTCTAAACCACTACTTCCATTGGCTGATTTTCAGCTACATCTACATGTACCGCTTTCGTTCACCACACGAGGGGAGTCACTGTTCTCGTTACTCAAAAGTTGAAGGATTCAGCTATAATCAGACTAAAGCAAGACTGGAGGTTATATTTTCAAGGTCCTTGACGAGCCCTGCGGGGCTCCTTGTCTTTTTCAGTCTCACAATGCGAGTATTATTTCATGTACGTACATTCTTATACCACTACCTAATACGATCGGTAGCACTCGATCGGATCACTTATAACACTAATAAAGATAATTAGTATATTACTGGTGTTCTACAGATGCCTTTACAATGTAACAATATTGAATTGGCGCTATAATCAACCAGATAAATTTTTTGTGCTATTAAGCGATGGTTACAGTATGTAAAAGCTTTTTTTTAGCTTAGATTAAGAACTTCTAGCTTACAAGACTATATAACGAATCATGACGAAATACGAAAGTATCCTCGTGTTAAGCCGAACGTTGTAAAGCACGATGGCGTAGTTGCTCCTGCAATTTTAGGACAAATACCTATTGCGTTTGTTACACAGACAATCTCCTAAGAGAGAAATTTTTAATTTATCGTAAATATATTCCAATTATTTCTGCTTCTTTATATATCTATAGTGACTAATGGCATGAATCCTTTACAGACATGACGCTTTACAAAATACACTTCCATGTGTATTCTAATGTAACCCATATAATGGTTTGAAATATTCCATCAAAGAACCAAAAAGTACCTGAAATGACTTTTTTCGTAGCGTATTTCAATAGATACAAACATCGCATGTTTGAACGCCATGCACCGGACAATAATTGTCGTTATTTTTACCAGTATTATTGAAAACTTATACGGGAGACGGTCTTTTGTTCAGTTGGCACTATATGCTTCGTGTGCAGAAGCAAATGGCTCTAGTTATCCGTAGCTACATCGTATGGATATCTGTGAGCAGATTAGCTCAACTAAAATAAGAGACTTTGCCTTTGAAATACATTGCTTCAATCAACGGCAGGAATCCAAAGCTCAGAAAAAGTAACACAATGGACCGTTCAACTCGACGTATGGTTATTGATCATCGATTTTTATAGAATATCGCAAGCCTTTATCGCGAATGATCTTCAACTAATACCTTGAACTCTTCAACATAACCTTCAGTTTGTACGGCTTTTTCACATGCCAACTTAATTCGGCTTGAGGTATTTAGAAAGTGCAGCGTCGCAAACGGGGCGTTGATACCTAAGCCGCTCCCTTGGCAACGATAGCTGCAGCTCCAGCACCGATTGGGCAGGTAAAGGAAAATGCAACATGCTGTGCGATCGTGCAGAGGAACAATCGCAATATCACGCTTTACATACCTGTTCCGTGTTTGATTGTTCACTTCCTCCTTTGTCCTAACCCCTTATTTATATTCAGCTTAGCCTATTGTTGTACGTTCCGTTATTAAGGCTTCATGCGCAAATGCTATTCTCTCGACAGGTTAACATGCCCGCGCAGGAAGAACGTATTTAGATACTTTAGGAGCGAATTTATTGTTGACTGTCCGATGGAACTGGTAGATGAAAATCATTTGTACAATGCCGCACTCAACAGATGTTGGAAAAAGCTCACACTGAGCGGTCGACGCCCAAGGAGGAATGAATGGCTGTTTATCGGTCTAAGATTATGCCGTTCCTCCGGTACTTAAAGCGAACCCAACTATTCTGTATCACCAGATCTCTCTCTAGCTCTCGTACACTCGAACTCTATCCTCTGTTTGGAAATGTTGATTTTTCTAAATTCGGATTTACTTCCTTTATTCATCAGTTCGAAATTGTCTCTTTGGGCACATTGATGGCTTGGAGCTTACTCTAGCCAAAATGTCTCGTTTGAAAGCCTCCATTCTTCCGGCTTAAAGCGATAAATTGGCCGTATAGAAGTCTTGTTGGGAATCGGCTTTCTAGGTAGAGGAACAGGATGCAGTAGACTAGGCGGTACTAAGGCAAGAGATGCAATTGCCTTGTTTCATCGATCAGTGGGATAAAGCACAAACCTGAGTGCGGGAGCCGAGGTAGGAAGGTCAGGACAGCATCTGTGCACTCTTCGATTAGGTCCTCAATAACAGATACAAACTAGTTTGCGATGATGTTTTATTCTGCCGCTCTTTCGCCCGACCCTCTTCAGCCTATAGTCTGTTTTCGACCAGTGGACGACCGTAAACAACTTCTTCCATTTTGAAGAAAACGGTTCCTGTCGACCGACTTGCAATATGAAGCGGGTGTCAACAACGGGTAGATATGGCTGATAGACTTACGATTTGTTATTCAGTAAGCACATGGACTGATAAACAATCAGCGGGAATGTGACGCGTTTCGTAGAGGGGAAATTTCAGTGTGGGGTATGTATAGCTGATACTTTTATTTACTCTAGGAGCCTCTGGAAAAGTGTTGTACCAATGGTGAAAATTGATCACTTAGAAAGATGACACATTCTATATTGAAGGTCTCATTTACCCAAGGTTTTTGGCAAATACTCGACCTGAAAATCAATCAATTGCTTATTGACATAAATTTCGCATCAAGGACAACTAGGATAAGTGTAGTTGTGGCTTGTTAACTCTAACATAGCGTAAGATATAGACGGTTTTTTTCCTAAAGTAAATGTTCTTGTTAATGACACCAGCGTAAATTATTGAATCGTTATTCCCTGCTACCATAGCCGAATGTATAAAAAACACGTGTTTTCGATATCCGTAAAATTTACACGATAATCTGCTACCACTCACTTGTAAACGTGCACGTGACGCGCGATCTGTGGCTTAAGCATTGCATGCACAAATGGTCGTGTCAAAACGAATCATCAGAGTTCTGCCGTTCGTTTTCTACGTCAGCAGTCTCCTTTGCTTCTGAAGCTTACTTGTGAACATTATGTCTAATAACTCACTTCCTCACCCGAATGGACGATTGACTTCGCGTCCTTGTGGTATGAGTTATACCGCTAGCAATATACGATAGGGTCTATACAACGATAACAATGCGCGCATTGAGTGTGATGTATCACATCGATTCGTTCATGGTGATGACAGTAACTCCATTTGAGGTAAGGCCACAAACACTATCCACATTCAGGAACAAAGAAGATTTAGAGCAACCGTATTCGGCAATAACTGTAGTACATGATAATAGCTGTGACGCGAAATCGTTTTTTTCGTCAAGTGTGAACGCGTGTCGGTCGAAGACCCGTCATAATCAACAGCTTCATGATGATCGTAGGCCGATCTCTTCTTCTGGCCATGATCGAGTTCTACACTGACGCTTACAATGACCATTTCTGTCGTTACTCCTTCAGAGCTGTCGATGAAACTTTGATGCCATTATGGTTTGATCTGGTTTTCACTGACGATTCTGCTTACCCTGTCAACCGAATCTTCTGCCGTGCTGCCCCTTGCTCGAGAAGCTCAACACGTTAGCACTCGAAAGTCCATTGGCACTCGGAGTCATTTGGTGCTACCGTATAGTTTCTATTATTACTTCGCGCACGACACATTTACGCAGTCCGCTAACTCACAATTACCAGCAACGCTGTTCCGCGTTATCGTCCACGTATTTATTCACTCATTTTTCTTGTCCATCGGTAACAACGTGAACAATCTAAATAGTAACGCAACAGTGGCGTCACCTCGTTGTTAGAGACTTCCTCGAGCTGCATTTGCGGCAATCGCTATTTGCTTTTGGCCGTTACGCTGTACTGTTTTTTGCGGCCGTATCAACGGCGGCAGTGGCGGCGTCTGCGATGCGTTTAGAGCAGTGCATTAGAAACGTACGGGCTGACAACACTAACGATGAGACAATGTGTTCGTAATCTTTGTGGCGTTCAACTGACACACACGAATCTGCTAGCCGACCGAAGGTTCGTAGCGAACGTAGTCTGCAGCGCTGGCAGCAGTTTCGCCTGCCTGGCTTACGCAGAACAATAAAGACACACATAACCCTTTCCGAGCACGTGCGCGAGTGGCAGACAAGTGCGGGTCTTCTCTGTCCGTTTGTCTGTCCGCGTACGCATTAGTCGTGAGGCCCCGTCAAAGGGCTATGTGGATATAATTACTGCTTCTATTGCTAGTGGCGTTTGCTTGAGAGAGTGCATCTATCTATATAGTACTAAACGCTCACTGTTCGTTACGAGCGGTTTATTAAGCTAAAGGCGCGAACCGAACAAGGTCTGATAATACGTTAAAAGGCTGTAAATGGATCAGACAAACCAGTAGGCTTAGTTTCGCCACCAAGCAAATACATCACATTCGGACACACTTTGTCAAACGTAAAAACATGTCCGAATTCATCTACTAGGAACTGCTCGTTCGGCGCTATACGATCATACACGTGATAAATACCCGCACAGTGTCCGGCACCATAACAACACTAGGCAGAGTGACGAAATGGGGCCAGCAGAAATCTTCGACAACAGGCTCAACTGATTACTTTGCTAGGCTGAGTTCACTCGCCAAACGTCGAATAAATGAAGCTAGGACAAATCGAAGACCAAAAACACCGTGCCACCACTTCGCCGTGTTTATCTTCTCGACCTCTGTTCGCGGTTGAAGTTGTCGCGCATTTTCGTTTCATACGACGCACATACGCTGCGATCCGTATTGTATTTCTGTCGACGTCCTGCTGTAGGCGAACTTCCTAGCCCTTCATCGTGATCACCATCGTTGTCGGTACAACTGCGGCCATAATCGCAAATGAGTCGGACGAGCGGCGGCGGCGTCTGCCTGCCTGCCTGCCTGCCTGCCTGCCTGCCTGCCTGTGGTATAAACGTGACGTGATTTGTACTAACATGGAGGTCGGGAAAGGAAGTCAGCCTCGCTGCCGGTGGCTGGAAGAAGTCTTGAGAAAGAGAATAAGAGCAACAATGGCAGCCGCAGGCACAAGATGAGTATTGCCGAAACCACAACTGTTAGAGACGAGCTCCCGTTAACGATGTTAACGCTGAGTATAGTAGCGATTATCGCTATCGGTGAACAAGTACATATTCCACCAGCAGCTAGACTACCACCATGATTGGCGTCGTGCTCACATACGAGAGTATCCACGCGAGCGATGTTAACGCCGCTGCTGATCTCCGCCTTGCTTTGCCTGGAATCGTCACCATATAATCGGCTAAGCAAATGGAGTTGCAGGTACGTACGCTGATCTTCTGCCAACTCAGTATCTTGTTGTACGCTAACAGTTATCACTAGGCCATTGAACCAGAACTATATCGAGTATTACTGCAATAACAACTACGACCGAATTGTGTTTCTAGTCGTAGAAATAATGCCACTTTGTTACTATTTTATTTGCTGTCTCCCTCTTCCTCTTTACACCTGTGTGTTTCTACTGCTTTCGAATTGCTAAATCGGCTAACATACGAATACGAATCAGGCCGGCCTGGCTAACTACGGAGAAAGACCGAGCTGGTATGGCCGTAACTTAACCAAACATTTAATGTGTGGCAAGCACGGTTGCGTACGGCAGGATGCGGATGAATAGGAGCAATTATTTATTACTGTGAACCTGTACTGATAGTCGCCGGTGCATTCGCGATCTAAAGGCGCACTCGTTGCGTCGGTACACCCGAGTTACAGACAGTCGTAATCGATAATATCTGCCGAAACGACGGTTTCGAAGCCGCGCTCCCGCCTGACCATGTACGTAGTACGAATGCGCGAGAGGGCCCGTCCGCTGTCAGCGATAGGATTGTCCCTTTACCGGCGATCGTCGTCTCTACGTAGTTATGTGGAGGCCGCAGCGCCGGCAGAAGACGAGCCCAAGACACGTGCCGAACAAGTGGTCGTAACGTCACGGAAAAGGAGATGTGCTAACTGTAATAACAGTAATTCTAACTGCTCGATAGAATACTACAACAGCTTTATGGCACGCTGCGTAGGCTCGCTGCTGCAGCGAGCTCTCATACGACTACGTCGTTGGGCCTGCTTGTGATGATGACAGTAGGCCGCTAAACTGCCGCAGCGACATTACCGGAAACAGCTGTAACAAACAACACGAGGGCAATCGATGCTGCCGTAGCGGTGGCCGGTCGCGTGACAGCAGCACCCAACGATGGGTGTACAAGCGGGTCGTCGACGGCCTGCTTGCTGGCGCCATTGTTGTCGTTATAAATGCTAACGCTGCTGCTCTCGCTTAAACAAGTAGTGCAGGCCCGCGCCAGATACAGCTATCTAGTAGGTAACAGCCGGTAACGGATTGAAGCTTTTTTCGTACGGAGCAAAGGCGCGTCCGCACACAAACATACTGACACGACTTCTACATATATACATCAACAAACAGACCCATATATACACATAGGTAGGCAGACTGATGCACAGCTCGCTGCCTGACCAGCAGCTTTGGCCGTGGATCTAACAAACAAATCCACAGATTAACGATGTTGTCACGGAGAGCCAGCTGTAGGCTGCGTATACCGCTATTAGTCTGTAGTAGCAGCGCTGCCCAAATGGCAAGCAAAACACAAACACAGAAAGAGATTCCAGGTTTGCATTATGTTTGTTTTTGGCGTCAGTGTTGATGATTTTGTCGCTGCTGTCAATGCCGACCGCGTACTTTGCGGCGCCTGCGGCAGTGTTTTTGTTTTTGTCGCAAGGATAACAGAAACGGTACGGGCACCAAACTCAAAACGAACCGTGATGACCAAGAAGATGTTTTTCGAATACGAAATGATCCGGTCCGTTGGCCCAGTTGGGCCAACGAATCGGATCATCTCGGGAAATAAAAATTATTCAAAAAAAGATCATTTCGGGGGACAAAAACGAAGCCGGGAACGGAATTGAGCGATTGATATGCTAATGCACAGACGTATGCAGAAAATGCATCTTGTCATGAACTAATGAGCACATTTCTTCGATTCTTTTGTAGTAGTAAATTTGTTCTTTGAAACATATCGCCAGGATGCTGGTATTGAGCAGTTTTCTCAATGCCATTGCACAAATCCCTTTCCCAATAACCAAAACCTAAGTTTATTAATAAGGGGCATAAATGCATAAACATGGTCCATAATCACCACATGGTATGATATTTGGCTAGAGTAACACGCCTTAGTACTTTGGGAAAGTATTCTGTCTTGAAAAACCTATCGCCCGTTCCCGTGACACAGCTAAGAGATAAACAAAACAACATTTCTAAAGGAAGGCGAAACTAAAGATACCAAAAGGTGCACGCCTGACTGACCTAGCGTGTTAGAGACAAAAGCTAGACAAAAAGAAATACCGTAGGAACACACGCATTCAGGCAAGCCTGACCAGTTAAGGACAAGGGTATCTATCTCCGCTAGACAAAAATCAAACAGGCAGTAGTAGCAGCAGGAGCACCAGAAATAATATTCCATTGTCAGTGCCAGTATGAACCAGTTGTTCGGACATCCGCCCAAATCATCTTCTAGAGATAAACAAAAGGTTAGGTGATCGCCGTCGCGTGATGGTTACAAGCACAGGTTAGCAGAAGCATCTTCCATGAGAGGCGAGATGTTGCTGTTAAGCAAGAATGTCGTAAGAAGTTATCGCGCGTACTCTACGGCTTTTGTAGTAGTGAAGTTTAAAAAAAGCTCGAGATCTGAAAAAGCTACGAATAGTCACTCGAGGCCGAAGCACGGCTAGGGATTAGATACGTATCAATTATAGGTGTAACGTATCACGAGCAATTGGCAACAATAACCTTGTTCGGCCATCATATGCATCGTACCGTATAATATCTTGATGCGTTGGATAGGTGTACATACACTGGTTACTGTACATTTTGTTGACTATGCTGCATTGTCAAAAATTACTGATGCTTTTCCTAGATAGACGACTTAGGTCGTGTATCTTGAGTCAGCTAAGTCGAGTCGGCATTATTTGTCACGCTAAATGTTTTCCAACGCCTTTATTTAGACCTGCCTTCCTGTAAAAATTTGCTATACCTTGTAATGTTATCAATACGAAGGCACAAATTCTGCCTAGTTAAAGAAACATTGTACTATTCACGCCCGAGATATGTTTTCAGATAAGACAGCATAAACATAGCCTTATCGCTTTCGTTGCGGAAATTTCGATGCGAAAGGCGCTGCATATAGTTACTGACCACTTACGAACGATAGTTGATGAAGTCATCGCGAAAGTTGAGCGAGACCGCCACGTGAGTAGTCATGACACCACCAAGGAACTAAGTGTCTACCATCAGACCTCATTCGACCATTTGAAAAAGGCCGAAGACTATACAAAAAAAAAAAAAACCCAATATTTCCTTATCGCGTGAATTGACGTAAAATAATTTACGACGCTTTGCAACAAAATCGAGCCACACCTAAGCGGTGGATCACGAGCGATGAAAAATGAACCACATGCAACAATGATGTACGAAAAGAAACCCTGATGAAAAACTCCACAAAACCCGGATTGAAGCCAAAAAGATGCGATATCATCCGACGTCCGAACCAATTGAGTCACTGAAGCTTGGCAAAACAATTAACTAACGTCAACAACTAACAAGATTACAACAAATCGTTGAAAAAAATCGACAGAAACTCGTGAACAAAGGAGGCATAACAATAGCAACAATAACATACGTTTTTAGCTACCCGGCAAAAGTTAACAGAACTTTCATCACAATATCGCCTATTTAAATCTCCGCGGTGGCGTCAAATTAGCTTGAGAAAAAGCAAAAATCACTTCGCTCAGAAACCGCGGATGTTCTACAGTGATAGGATTATGGTCTCGCCAGAAGAACAGCAGATCAGAATAGCGTGCATTTAATTTACCATTATCGTTTGCGTTAATCTTGGCTTCGCTTTTTTGGCCATCCATTATCACGCATCCATCACATGTAGGTATATATATATATGTTGACAGGCATAATGCTAGTGGTCAAATCCTACTGATAGATGGCAAAGCAACAGATTGTCCTATTATCGGCTTGTGACCTAGTAACAAATACATAATAGTAATGGTAATAACAGTATTATTATATATGATGTCACTCAGAAATCATTTTTGGCAAGAGTGTTTTACCCATTAGCTAGGCGTAAAATATGTGTAAATGCTGCCACAACGCTACCTATTATTATATGGGCTTCGGCTGTATGTAGGTGTGTTTTCCTGTGCATATACATGGATTTTATAATACGTAAATTTTAAAATATTCACAAATTCGTCTTGAAACATCTCTACTATTTGTCGGAGTCGTTGAACTGCTCTTGATTCTGTGGTATTACTGTTTTCTCTGTGTAACATTGTTGGTAAGACTCTAGCTGCCATTCGTTAACTTTGCAGTGTAACTTCCACTTAAACTGGTGCCTCTGCTATGTCATCATCGACGCTGCTATTGCTGTTTGCATTTCTGTTGCCTGTTTCTGCAGGCTCCAATGCTGACGTTGCAGTGGCGGCAGACCCGAACTTGTACAGAGCTCAAGAAGTTTGAGCTATCAACCTGGGAGCGGGGCAGCAAATCACGCAGTCCGCCATCATCAATAGTGCACGGCGGCTACATACTCAGTCGCTCCGCGCTACTCAACGAGAAACGGTAGTCTCCGTCGTCGTTGTTAGTGTTTTGTAAGCGACCGTTGTACTACGAAATCTATAATACAGTGATTGTTTTAGTATGGAACGAGTTGTTTCTCCATCGCCATAGCAACTATCATCGTCCCCGTGTCAAGCGATGCCGGCCTGTTGTACGTGGCTTTGCCGGTTTTGGCGTCGTCTTCACACGCACTTAGGTCATCCAGGTGAGCGGTCAAGCCACTCACTCTAGTCATTGGTTAGCGTCTGGCTGACCGTTGCTCTATCCGCCTTCAGTTCGATTTCGCCGCTATGACGTCGCAGAGGCTTCCCCAGCAGCAAAACGCCACAGTGCGGACTCACTCATCCCTCCCAATAGAGTCTATCCCTCTGTCACGTTGAATCGGTAGTGTGATGGTCAGCAGCGGCCAGTCGTGTTCGGCTACCGGGAAACTGCTGATATAGAAAACCCTGCGGACGTAGCAGGGTCGTTCGTAGCAGTACAACGTTCATTTACTTGTTGAGAAGCGCCACCAATAGGCGAACTGCCGGCAACATCAATTGGTACACGTATCATACGATGGCCATGGCTACCGCGCAAGTACACTATATACTTCCAGGGAGGATTCTCTCCAAAAAGGCTGGCAAAGCTTTCAACGAAACAAAGCGGAAGATCCAACACTGTTAGTCGATTGAAAGGACAAGAAAATTAATATCAATAAAGCTGAACGCTATTTCTAATGGTGTCGGAACTTTGATACGGGAATTGGTGGTCGTTTTCGAGGCACCACGACCGATCATCGTCAAGAAGACTGTCCAAGCAAGTTTCAATGAATGTAATTTTTTTCACACACATTCGAAACCTTTGTGGAACTCTTGAATCGCTGGAAGCTTTAGGATATGCTGAGATTAAAATTGAAATATTTTGGGTTTTATGTATGACTATCGTTTCGTTGCCGGTTATTACTTAAAAAATCTATGTTTTACTAGTTTAGAGAAGAAATCGTAGAAAATTATTTGTTAATCACTTGGATCTCTAGTTAACTCTATGATCGAAGTCAGTGGCGGTTAAATCGAACAAACACATCTGTTAGCGATGTTCGTTTACAAGTTCTTACTTACCGATTTTGCTTGACGCACGATTACAAAGAAAAAGTTACGTGTGGATATCTTTTTCGTTGATTTAAATACGATCTTGGAAACAAGTAATAGGAAATATTTCCCATTTAGCAATAAAGAATGCGTGGGCTCAAAACCGTCGAACAAAAATCAAATGTATTCGTGCCCACTTCTTTGATCCAAATCATTTGACCTTTACTTCCAAATAGTTAAAAAAAAAAATAGATAAAATAATATAGCAAATAGGCTATGTTAAAGTCGTTGTCATTGCTTTGTTCAATTAAAAACGGATTGAATTTGCGGCATTAATTCTTTTATTACTGTAAAGGGAAGGCAAGTAAAATTCCTGTGGCCGTAGCAGGATAAAGAATTGTGGATACGACGGAAGCTTTAGCGCCAAAAAATAACATGAGTACATTAAGAAAAATTCCGTCCCCTCGACAGCACAAATCTCTGGATTGAAGAATTTGGCTTCAAGCTTCGTCCACGACGGATACATTTCTATTTATTTATTGCCTACTAAGTAAATAGTCAAGAATAACGAATAAACGAACAAATAAGAAAAACAGGCTTATCATTCAATGGGACCGTGCAAAACAAGGACATATTCCTAATTGAGAGTAAAACAAATGTTTAAAGTTAGTATACGTAAGTCTATATATATCTTTAGCTGTCGACGTGTTATCCAGTCACTGGGAAGATATTATCCCTATGGGCTTTATATCCGGTCATAGCTATCCGTTTCATTTCATCTTTCTTCATTAAGCCACTTAATTGTATCAGTTTAATGATGTCAATTTAACTAGATCCCCCCCCGTAAATTACCGCCAATATTCAAATTTAGTGTTTTTTACATTCTAAGCAGTCCAGCACCAAATCAGCAGTTTGCACAAAGAGCAGTGCGTACTTGTATTTCGAACGTGAGAATAGGTTGCTACAGTTCTACAGCGAGGCAAGCTCTGTACGAGTTTCTCTCTTATCGATATTTTACCTTTATCAACGTAATGTTGAATTTTTTTCAACTGTCTAACGTGAAGATACTGCCGAACTGGAAGCAAGATTCCTACACAACTTGGAGGATCGCTCTACTTGAAGATAATTGTGCCTTTTGCTGATGAAGTGGACTTTCGACGTTCCTTTAGAACATCGCATTTAGCAAACGTCTGCCAATTTTTTTTTTTTTTCAAAAAATCTTTTTAAATTAGACCACAGTGTCATGCCATGATCGGTTCCCTACTTTATTCGCCATGGCATATGGTCACAATCAGAATATTCTGATTTGGACGTCATCCGAACGTATAGCACGAATGCGATGATTACTAAGACTATAATTTATTAAACACTCAAAAGGACTATACAGCTAGAAGTTGCGAGACACTCTAAGATCACCGGCGGCTAGATACCAGATAAACCTTTAATAATATATGTACGTCCATGCTTCACAGAAAGTAACCGAGTTCCTAGCAAACTTATAATTGGTCTTTCTTTTACTCTTTCAGATTTTTCCTATTTCAGAATGCTCAGTAATATCAGGAACAGTGGCGACAAAAATACCTCGACACACAACATTTTCGTAAGTAAAAGTAAAAATATAAGAAATTATTTTCAAAAAATGTAGTAGGACAGCTAACAAGTTACTACCTAAAAATACCTTTCAAAATGACTCGAGAAAGGTGGAAAATTGGCGTAAGATTAAAAAGGCAATATTGTGTCCCGTTTTTGATCAAAACATGTAACAACTATAAGCACATACAGAATTTGAATACGTACGGAGTTAGCCAAACGTCACTCATCGTTGTTGTTTCCGTGGTCCTTTTTCACATTCATCTGTCATAGGGCGAAGAGCCTTCGCGCCTGTTTTACGGGCAATGCAGTACCGGCTTCAATATGACGATACAGATTGTTGGCCCGCAATCGTAGTCATACTGCCGTCTCAGACAAGATAAGATTGGGGTAAAACTCCCACAATTGGCGTGCAGTAGGCGAGACCGTAAGCGATATACTTTCTTTACGTCTGTTCGCTTGATATTGGGTTTTGGCCCAACGTTTGTTACTAATGTATAATACAATAATAACAGCTCTTTATTTATCTGCGTGTGCAATCACTTAGTATTATGTGTATGCCTATCGGCAGTCACTGTGTTTCTCTGTCGTTTAGAGCATATTTGAAGTTAGTCTTCACGACTCGTAATGCAGCGGATGTGTCTGATTTGTCAACACATGTCTGCGTTGTGAGATCTGCATTGCAAGAGTTAACGACCGAGGATGAAAAGTATTCAGACGATCAGCAATTCCAGCTGCTGCTTTCCCCCTGTTTCATACTGGCAGAGTTGGTGTACGCTTCCCTTTGACCAGATACTTGTTTTCGTTGATGTTTGGCATCCAGCCATGGGTCCGGCATCGACAGGCGTCTGCTATGATAACGGTGTACGTTTTAAACGCGTTGTCTTCACGGTACTATATGGCGTCCGTTTTTCTCGCCTATCTTACCTTCGGTTCGTATCTCAAACACTTTCATTTGCTTGCTGCGACATTCGGTGATTCGTTTATGGCAATTCAATCCTTTTTTTCCAGCCTGCAATTTGTTCGAGCAACTTCGAGCCTACAGCGAGCCTACTTTATCCTGATGTGACGGCCGGACCTGCGACGACGACGACGACGACGACAACACAATCATCGATTATTGTTGTCGCCAGTAAACTCCGAACACCAAGCTCTAGCCGGTAGCTTTGAGCTAAGAGGAGAAAACCCTTTTAAGCGACAACCCGTCATCGCCGGCATAGCTACCTCTGTCGAAGGCAAGCAGACGAGACAATGACGAATTCCAACGAAATTGCGCTTCAGGCTGGAGAAAAACCCTTCAATACTGTCAGTTTACCAGCTTTCGACTAACAGTTTTCCATGCCAAGTAATATCCTCGTCCAGCCTTTTTTGCTGGACCGTCCAGAGCACTAATGATGAGACACGAGAGCCGTACCAGTTTAGAAAGGCCCAATTGTGACGCGACTGCACACCCTTATATGGGTATATCATGATGGTAAGGTAAAAATCAAACATTTAGTTTATATCGTCCGACAACACAGCGGGTAAGCATACAAGGTCAATTAGAAAATATTCTATAGTCTACTGCTAGTCCTCTACCTCTGGCTATGTATACCGATGAACGCGGAGCAAAACGTAAGGATAAATCTAGTGTATATATAAAATATGGTGTATATATAATAAGTCGTCAGATTATTGTTACATAAGAAGAAACAATTTTAGTACCCATCACTGAAGTGGTGTTACTTTGCTGTTGAAATGGTTTACCGCCATCGAGTTCACGCACTTCTATTGTTTTTTTTTAGACATCAGACGCGTTCGCCCATTGAAAAGGTACATTGACCGTCAATAGGAACGGTGAGCGACAAATCACAGCACGATAAATTGCACAAAACGTAGATGGCCGCATAAAGCGAAACATGTATTTTTTAAAACTTGTTCATTAGCCTGCTAGTACGAGATGCATATACGAATAGGATAAACCAACAGCCGAAATCTTTGATGTCTGTCAATAATATTGAGACATTATTTACGTTATATATATAAGTTTAATTTTCATTTGGTATTATTGCGACATTGCGTTCGTGATTTGTGATGAACGGTAACGCACGGCTGTGTAGAAACAGCCGTTTCTGATCGTCTAATACATAATTACTATTGTAAAAAGAAAAACTCAAGAAGAATACACCGTAAGATAAAAAACGGTAAAAAATAATGGCGGATTCCGTATTAGTTTGTCGGGTATCTGAAATATATGTGGCTTACTGAATCAGATATCGCAAACAATCGAATTGCCTTCTTGTGAATAGAAATGGTATAAGTTACATTGGTGGACCCGAGTGAACTTCGGTGCGATCGATGTACAAGGCCGTGCAGAAGGTTCCTTAGCAAAAGGTTCAATTCTTCTAACGGAATCGTTCGCGCGATAGAAAATACAGTTAACCTCTATTCCATATCAACTGTAAACCTACAATAACTCGTCCTGTGTGTTGACAGCCATAACTAATGGCTTGTATATATTTGGCCTTCCTTCTTTTCCTTACGTATTAGACAGTTGCGGAAGGTCAAACACGCATATGCCCTTATAATTTTCGGTGACACTCGTAATTATGTATCGAAATTCTGATAAGAAAAAACTCGGTAGAACTTCCAAAGAAACGGCGGAATTGTTTATCCAATGCTAATAGAGATCACTCTTTTTGTTTTTCGGCAGTGTACCTGAGGGTTACTTGTAACACTAGTTTCTACCGTAATAAAGCTGTCACATCCAGACAAAAAACGGGACCTATGTTTCCTCCTTGGAGTGTTTCGATCTGTTATAGATAGATATCTTTGATTTAAACGTGATGCACAGAAGTGCAGTGACCCTGCCGCCGATAAGTTCCTTGTAGCTTTTCCTCGCCAATCGACTTTTCAGACATGTAAGCTTCTTTCTTCAGCTTTGATGATCCCAATTCATTGAGTTCAGTATCGAATTAAATACTTATAGGTTGTATTGGGTTTTGCTGCTCGAACGAGTCCATTTGTTATACATAACGGTACTGTTACGGAAAGCTCGACTCATTATTATCTTGAATTGATTTGTGTGTAAGGCATCGCATACTTAGTTCGTGTACATACGGTGTTTTTTTCCTAGCTTATATCTTTCTATTTACTTTATGTTGCTTTTTATTACATCGTATTTTTTATCATCGTATATTGCATATGACTATGCAATGGATACCTGACAGTTTAATTGTGTCAATATACTTGATAACCGTTTCACTAGAATAGCACTCACTAATCCGATACGATATAATATTAAAAATAAGCCAAATTTATTGTGTAGCACGCGTTCGCACGATAAACTTAATAAGTTGTTAGGACAGCACTGTGATTCCTGCTGCCATTAGCCACGTGCATGTGGTTCCGTCAAGTGAAGTGGTATAACCCTTTTTCTATTTATTCAGCGGTTGCACCAGAGCAGTAGTAGCTTGCTTCAGCATAATCTTATGTGTAGACGTATACGTAGAGTATGCCCATAGTCATTGTCGAGGCCGCGTTACAATATCGTACAGGCTATATTTAAAGGTGAAACACAAGGTTATAGCTTGCTTTTTTACAAAATATTTCGAAACTAGGCTTAGTGGAACAGACGTTTTTCATAGTTTTTAGTAAAATCTGCTATAGACCAATCGTCTGTAAGTACTCGTTCAAGATAAGCATACAGACAAGCACTGGCGTGTATCATAGTTTGCTACAGAAAACGTTTGTTTGTGAAGCTGACCCAAACTTTAAAAGTTAAAAACTTACGTCTAGTTTACCTTTAGCCTTCAGATCTAACCGATTTCACGAAAATTATTTTGCACTCCCCTAACAAGCCGACTGTAATCTTTCCAACAGGATGTTACCTGTTCGACATAACGATCGGCACGTGTTTATAAAACGAGGACAAACCTTTGGCCATTCATTAACCATATGTTAGTTTAGTTAACGAGGGCCCATCTTAGGAAATCGTCTGGAAAGAATAGATTTTGCCATATTTGAATTACAGTGGAAATAAGGCACCACCGCGGGAAGCTTATTTCCAGAGTTAATTTCCAAACAAGAATAACCCACTTACTTTCCAATATTGTGAAGTGACAAGTACATTGCCTGTGCTATAATTGCATAATGTTCGAAATCTGTGCAGCCCATAGAATGACGTACCTTTCGACTTCATATTCACTCATCGCCATTTCTCGTTTTCAAATTTCGCCATAATGAGGTTTTACTTGCATCCGGGAAGGCCTCGACTGAAGAACAGCTTTGCTTGTATATCGAACTAAGGTGGCCAATCGTCGAGGTCATTTAGACGGCATCGCGTTAATTGCTTGAAATAATCGGACCGATTAGAACAGCTAAGTCAAGAAGACAATACGCATACGGACGCACCATATCCTCGGACAGATCCCATTCCTTCCAGTGCTGGTCCGTAAATACCCCCAAACAGCTCCCACTATTTAGCTCGACCTGTTTTCATAACCGCCTACGGTTTTCCATGCCTTAGATCTCCGTGGTTTTAATTCATTTAGACTCTCTAAAGGTTAACACATTTTTTTTGCTTCTGATTTTTTTCTAGCTTTAAGGCGGGATCCATTTCAATTAGTCCTCCGTTTAAACTAGTATTAAGCCGCTATGCCTCTAAGATGAATGCAAGAGTCTGAACCTTCAAATCTTCCCCAGATAAGGTTGGCAAATGCACCAATACTTGGGGGGTATCTTTCCCCTTCTTCTTTTAATTTTCCGGGCCTTGGTTAGCAAACGTATATGTATCTTTGCTGTGTCTTCCTGAAAAAGCGTCTCGATATGTTTTTTAAGAACCGATACTGATCTGACGGTTTTACATTTAGGAGCAGCAAACGACCCTCGAGTTCATATTCCTCTGTTTACAGTATCACTGCTCTCCATCGCTTTCTTAACTGCCAGTATTCAATACGAGACTTTGATTTGTACATTTATTCTTGAAAATCCGGGAATACGTATGCCACCACACGGAATTCAGACATCTGCCTACATTGATTTGTCACTAGAAGACACAAGAAGGCACCGTTATTAATGCGCAAATAAAAATGAATAGAATACGTGAAACGCCAAACGTTTCAAGAAACATGGGGCACACGCAGGTATATAAAAACATAGAAATAATCAATGTAAACTACTATACATATATATATAGCCAGATAACACAATTAACATAATTAATCCAGGGTATTCATAAACGAATGGTCATAAATAGACTTACTGCATGACGATCGGTGGAGACTGCCTATTAAAAAGCTCAATAGAGTAAAGCGGAAAGTGCTGATCGATACTTTAATTTCTATTGATCTCGCTGAGTAAATATCATTAAAATCACAAGAATCATTAAAATTAGATACGTGTTCATGGGATTATTCTCTTTCTGTGAATGTTTTTGCCACTTGGTAAAAAAAACCCAAATCATAAAACAGTTCTTGCAGTGATGTACTGCGAAACTACCGTCGCTCCGACGTGAGCGTTATATGTAGGACAAGTAAAATTCGTGTAAGGAAAAGGTCAATGTTGGAGTCCTTTAAGCAGCTGTGTTAATCGAACTCCAGACGGGACCACCTATAATATTAACTATTGCATAGTGCGGCAGAAGAAAATTTAAACCAATAACCCATCCATTAGCGTGCGCGCTGCCATAATTAAAGCACTCTAATAAACCGCTCAACGCTGTGTTCATGTGGTACGATTAGGGAAGATGATAAAAGTCCCTAGGTTTGTCGATTTCAGGTCTAGGAAGTTATTATATATAGGTAAAGGTATCGTTGTAAGTTTTTAAGAATATAGTATCATCTGAGTGCCTGCATGGATATAAACGTTTAAGATGTATGTTTTGCTGGTTAACAGCTAACGTTTAAGGTTTAAACAGCATAATTTACTGCGGCTTTCTCTACAGTCTAGCTTGAATTTGCTTGAAGAATTTAATTTTGTTTAGACATCTAAGTGAAGAAATCTAACAGATTTCCTGTGAGAGAATTATCTTTTTAAAAATCATTAATTTCAAGCCTTCTATAGTATCTATATGTATGGAGGACACGTTAAGAACCCTATAATACCGGGCTTGACACAGCTACTTCTTCGTACAACGTAATTTTACGTACGTCTTTCCTATTGGATTGTTTTTGTGGTCAAGGTTGCACTATATTCTTGCTGTCGTAACAGACCGATGAAAACGTAAAATTTGCACTACGCGATATCGGTGTGGACATCGTTTCGTAATAGTGTGCCTTCGATAAAGGCACGGCAGACTTTGACGTCAGATTATGCGATTATGGCACGTCCTTTGAGTTTTCCGTACTCTGGCTGTGTCGACACTGTTCCTACAAGGTTCTTGTTGCTTCCTTTAATAAGTTTTGGTGTATTTTTGTGTCAGCATTGTTTTGATAACACACAAATTCGAAATTTGTGTGCTAGTTTCACGTAACTATTTTGACAGGGATGAACATCTACCTCTGTGTTTACGGCGTTAACTCCTGCCTTTTGGCAGACAGGTTTCCCCTACAAACATCAGCCATATGATTAAAACATGCAAAAAAAAAAGAACGATAACTTGAAGATATCATGGGCTTCCGTTGATTAATTCTCGTTGTTTCGCAGCTTCAGTCTCAGCCTGATCTACCACATGAAAATTTGGCCTACCAGCTGGGAAACAGATCGATATCGATTTCCTAATTATCTATTAACGTTATTGATTGAACGATTCAATGAACTATCAGCGTAATCATAATGTGCTAACTTAACATTAACACATAGACATCTAATGTGCACCTGGCTTTCAACTAACCATATAGATTTCAGCCGACTATATGAGTAGAAGCTACTATAACCCAAATTATACTCGAATGCCCAATCGCGCCATCCATCCTTCTCTGTGGTATGAGCTCTTGTGATCAATATAAGTGCTCGCATTCAAAATATCTGGTAGTTGTAAAGTTTGGATAATAGTGTACAACCCAGTAATAAAGCAATACTTTGTTTTCTCTACGTAAAAGCTATTCATGCGTCCGCATATTGCCAGTCTGTTGTTAGCTACGATATATCAATATTGTGCAAGTTGAGTGTACAAAGTGAGTATACATAGCTTGAAAAATGTACAAAAATCTATTAAAACATCAAATATAACCAATTATGAGATGTCAGAGATCTGAGTAATCATATTCGACCAGAACAAATTATTTAGGAAATCCGTAGATTTCCTTCCGCGATAGGTTACGGAGTAAGATAATTTCGATATACGGTATGTTGACGTTCGCTTTTGGAAAACACATTGCACAACCCTGTAATAATATGAACGTAATTCAACAGCGACATTGAAGAAAAATACAGAGGTGCGTTGCTCGCCAACTCATTTTAGAGACCAAAGTCAGTGTGAAATTTTTTAATATCTTCCCAACGACCCATCTGGAGCAAAGCAAAAGCTCTCTAACGGTGTAGAGTATTTGAAAAAAAAATAAAAATAAAACAAAAATTGGTATTATTTATACGCCAATCTCACAAAACAAATTACTGAACAAAATGGATCGGCCAGTAGGAGCCGTTTTTAATAGTTTCAGAGGCAGGAATAATCATTAGTAAAGTTTTAAATTTTCAAAAAATTCAGGCAAAATTTTCCATGTAAGAGGCCGGAAACATGTTTCTGCAGTAGGCCGCTATCACTCAGAGCTTGCTATAGATGATTTAATTTAGACTTGAGATGAACAGCGGAATGCTTGGATTGATTTCTTCTGGTGTGTGGAATGCTACAATAAACTT